AACCAACACGGAAAAACTGTTGATCAGAATTTCATTTTATTGAACCTCAGAGATAAGCCATAAAGGAGGCAAAAACCCATAAATTATTGCTATTATTATTATTTTTTACCCTATGGGATTGAACCCAGGGGTGCTCTACCACCAAGGTACATCCCAATCTCCTTCCTTTTTTTTTTTTTTTTGGTACCAGGGATTGAACCCAAGGGAACTTACCACTGAGCCACATCTTCAGACCTTGTTATTTTTGATTTTGAGGCAGGGTCTCGCTAGTTGCTTAGGGCCTCAATAAGTTGACTGAGGCTGGATTTGAACTTGTGGTCCTCCTGCCTCAGTCTCCCAAGCCACTGAGATTATAGGAATGCACCACAGCACCCAGCTTTATTTTTATTTTGGCACAAGTTCTTTATAAGTCGCTGAGGCTGGCCTTGAATTTGCCGTATTCCTGCCTCCACCCACATATTATTTTTGAACCATGAACTCAGTACTGAAATGTGTTAAGACTGTTCTCACAGCCTCCTGTAATCATTGATGAGCAGGTAGGAGCGATCCCACTCTACATAGACCCTTGATCTCCCACAGAAACATCTAATGGAACTCAGTGTCTAGATCTGATGGACAATGTCTCATGGAAATTATTGTCTTAGATAATCAATGATAACTGTCTTTCTGCATCATACAAATAAAAAAAAACACCAATTTTGAACGACACAGAGGCCATACATCTTTCAGCATGAGTACCTTCAGCATGAGTCTCAACCAGAGGCTGTGGGCGGGGCATGCCACCCACCATTTCCTGCATAATCCACATGTTGTCACTTTAAACACCTACACCCAAGGGCTCACTCATTGACACCCTAGTGTTCACCCAGAGAGCATCATGAAGAACCTTGTGCAACTTCACACTCTGAAGGGCACAGCCAGCATCCAGGCAAGATGAAAAAGACACAGCCGAGCCCAGACAGTGGTTCAGACTGAAAGGGCAGTGCAAACCGCACAAGCACTAACCAGAATCGCTCACAAAAAATGGGGGTGGGGTGGGGGCAGTGTCTGTGTTTGAATCCTGGATGCTAGAAAGTAAGGACTGCAGAAGAGAAAGGACTCTGATGTTGGAGCTTCATGCCCAGGAGAATCCCATTTGTGGAGGAGAGCACAGCAAGCATTTCCAGACCTGTAAGGTTTCAAAGCCACACTCCTACAGAACTGCCCAGGAGAACTGGCAGTGACCGCTCACAGCTCATGGACATGTCCCCGGAACACAGGAAAGGATGTTCATAGAAGGCTTGGTTGTATCAAACACACGAATCCCTCTGGCAGTCCCTCAAAACAAAGTAAGGAGAACATGGCATCTCACACTGCCGGGTAAGTGTTCACTTGCATAAACCTCAGAAACACAATGTTGAGCGAAAGACACCAGACACAGCAGGAAAAAGTAGTCCATGTGAAAATCAGGGTGGTGCTTACCTCTGTGATTCCAGCCGGGAAGCAGGATGGGCTCTGGACGTGGTCTAGAGTTGTGCCCTGGGTGATGTAGGTACAGCTGTTCACGTCTGTGAAATTCCCTTGATGCATGAAGATCAGGGCTTCCCACTGTGGCCATGTTCACTGTACCTCAGTCAACAGGACACAAAGGGTCCTGCTGAGGTTTTAAACAGACTTAAACCAGAAACAAAGACAAGCATGGCCCTTGCACTGTTGTTGCATGGGAGGCTTCCTGTCACCAGGAAGATCAGGCCCCTCTCAAACTGACTGACACCAGGGAATTTCCACCCACAGGCCTGGCAGGTTAGAGGAGCTCTAGGGTCAACATGATTGGCAGTCCAAAGATGTCTCCAGACGTTCAGCTGCTTTGCTTCTTTCCATCCGCCTCAGAGATGTCGGTCACGCTTAAGCTGGTGCCCACTGACAGCATCACTGTGAGAGAGCCTGGGCTTCTCTCTGTGACCTCTCACAGTTGTGGAGAAGTCAGTATCAGTGATGAAATCACGAAGATGGCAGGGCTGAGGGGCTCCAGGAGAGAAGGCATTGCCTTTTGCAGCCTCTGGCAGTTGCTCTCCTTCCTGGCTTTAGGGTGCACTACTCTGATCCCTGCTTCTGTGGGCACCGCCCACACCTCTTTTCTGCACAGGTGTGGTCCAGTTGCTCCACCTCATTCTTGTGAAGGCACATGATTGCATTTAGAACCCAGAGATCTCCCTGTCTCAAGACCCTCAGGTACATCTGCGAAGACCCTGCTTCTACATAGCGGCAATCAGGACCGACTTTTTTAGAGGCCCTTTTCAGCCTGCCACACTCTCCAAGTATCTAACCCAAACTTGGGGCCTTACTCCTAGTGTTTGCTCCTTCCTTCAACCTAATTTCCACGAACAGGAGAATACCTTGCACTGATTGGCCTGGGTCAGGGTACTATCTTGTTCTTGCATCAATCAGTGTTACAATGCCACCCCCAACACATGCACACACAAAGCTGGGAGTTCCTGCCCTCACATTTTGAGGAAGGAAGCACAGAAAAAAGTCCACAGGCCAAGGGTCAAATATCCTAAAAGGCTCTGCTGTAACTCTATTGCAACTTTATTGGTCTAGTGGTAAACTGGGTATAACTGACACTTTATACACTGGACTTTTCATTCTGGAACATGAGCATTTCTTTCCAGAAACTTATCTTCACATGCGTCCCCTGCATTTCTCGATAAACTAACCTCATTTGTTTTTTTTCTTGTTGTTGATTGCTTTCCTTTTTCCAGGACTGGTAATCAAACCCAGGGCTTTGCCAATACTAGCTAAGGGCTCTAGCACTCAGCTCTATTCTCGGCCCCCTTTAGTTTATTAGAATCTAAGTTGCCCAAGATGGCCTCCACCTTGCAATCCTTCTGCCTCAGACTCCCAAGAGGCTGGGATTACAGGTGTGCACCACCGTGTCTGACTATTCATTAATATATTGTCTTTCTTCCAAGTTACAGCATTTAAGTCTGTTTCATACTCTATTTTTTGAGAACAGACTCCTTCTGTTGTCTGGGATGTATTTTATAACCATCCATGTTTGATATCAGAAGAATAAACAATTCAAGAGGAAACAGAAGTGAACTTTCATAGGAACAGGTGGACTTCTTAGGCAAGGAGAGACCCTGAGTTGGGTTGTACCAGGACCAGCAGAGTTTCTGGGGCTTGTTCTTTGTCTACATTCTAGTGGCTGAGGAACAAGATGACCCACATGGGACAGCAAGGGGGATGGGGGTGGCCAGTCCTGGGTGGCAGCAGTGGGCAGCTTAACCAGCATGAAGACCACCTGCTTGTGCATTTTCTCTCCTGAGGAACCAGCATCTCTAGTTTTGGGTTTTCCTCCTGGTTTGCCCTGCATTGTGGACCTCCTGCATTCCTCTTTGAAGCAGACCATTTTCTGGAGGCTGTTAGTGGTTACCCACTGCTCAAACCTCAGATTCTTTGCCTCTTTCTGGGCATTATAACCAGTGAGGTCACCTTGGTGCTGGCCTTGTCTTTGATTTGGGGAGTGGGGCAAAGAACATACAGGTGGCAGAAAAATGGGCCAAAGAGTCTCTTTTGAGAAATAATTATGCTTCAAATAATTTACAGGTAAAAAGTGATTAACTTGGCTGTGATTTTCCAACATGAGGTTTTGAAGTCCTAAAAGGTTCAGTGAGGCGTCAGGATCACACTTCAAAGATGAACAGATCCTTCTTGTGAAGTGGCACCCCCTTTCTCCACAGAAAAACCTGCTTTACCATGGCTGATTTTAGGACTGTCAGCAAAAGAGTCTCTGCAAGAGTTCAATGTAGATAAACTTCCTATTTTCGTGTCGCCCTGTTTACATGGCCACTGCAGAGAAGATACCAGCACTCCAGGTGCTGGACACCCCTTTCTAGTTTTTCACAAACGTATCCAGTATAGTACTTTGAAGAAATGTGCAAACAAGACCTCTGGCCTTGAGCTGGGCTTCACAGAGATGTGTACATTTTTAAGATAAGTTACAAATGGGCTCCATGGTAACAGCTGGCAGGGGGAGGAAAGAGAGAGGAGAAGAAGCTCTCCTATTCTCAAGTGTTGTCCTTGGAGGGTTAACTTGCCCAAAACAGTGAAAGAAAAAGCTGCTTTTATGTGAACTTCTGCAGACTGTGAACTTCTGAGCCCCTCCCCTTACATGCTGGGTGTAAAACTCTCGAAACTCCCTGAACTGGAGGTTCAGGGGATTGATTGATTACAGCAAAAGCTGTGCCCTCTGAACCTGGCTGCAGCCAAATAAAACTGTTTCCTGCTGTCCTCGCTGCCTTGCCTCGTCTGTCCCTACAACACTTGTATTTAAAAATGACGTCTTCCACATGCAACAATCTTATATGCTCCAGGTGATGAATCGAAGAATGGTAAGTGGAGATCAAATTTTGAGTCGTCAAGTTGTACAGCTGCTTTGATTCAGCTGAATGCCACCACTGCCACAGTAGGGTCTACTTAGTTTTATTGTGTTGTTTTTACTCACATATTAATTTAAAGCAATAGTGGACTATTGATTCAAGAACGAATAGAGAAGACTATTACAATAACTCATTATCTCAACATACATATGCCTGACCACGTGCAGGATGTTAAAAAAAGAAAAAGTATGAAATCAAACTTTGCAACCGAATGAGAAATCTACAATTACTATTCCAATCATTTTTGTATCTGATCCTTAATGCGTTCTCTGCAGTCTAGAATTCTGAAATCTTTTCTAATGAAAAATGTCTTCACGTTGTGAATCTGTGAAGTTCACATGGAGGAGCAGAACCACTCAGTCTTTCTCCAATCTGGTAAGATTGTATACTCCTGTGTTTCACAGCCAGGCCTTACCCCAGATGGTGAGGATATTATGTGCTCTACACTGTATACACTTTACTATTCTAAAATCCAAACATTTATGAATTTTGAAGGTTCTGGTCCTGAATGTTCTGAACAAGAGATTAGGGTTGTGTGTATGTTTCTGAAAATAAAAAGGATGCATAACACATTTGATATTTCACATGTATAACAGTTAACATTTATTCAGAAATCATACTTTTTTACAATTATACTAAATATTGTACTTAACGTGCTAAAAGTATGCAATTACATTAAGGTATGTCTCATGAATCAGTTTTCCACAGTATACTTATTCGAAACAAAAATGTTAGTAAACATGATTATTTAACACGTCACACTAGCCAGTTCAACATTTTCCTGTGGCCCAAAGAAGACAAGACACCTCAGGAAAAGAATAGCAGGCAATAATCTATGAGAAAGACAAAAGAGTACTCTTTGCTCTGGAAGGACATGGAAGATGTGCATACAGCAGGTTTTGATCAGCAACAGACTTGGGCTTTCCCTTCCTGGACATGGGTACCTCTGCGAAATGTGAAAAAGACTCAGTTACTCATTAAATGAGCAGCAAGCCCAGGTCGGGATGTGTTCCATCTACAAGAAAAACCCAAGGAAATAATATCAGAACAAAAGACACTGCATGACCTCTGAGTAACCACTAATATGCAAAAATCAGCCTAACACAACAGTTAAGATGAACATGTACAGCATAACAGTGGTCCCCTTTTTTTTATTATTTTTCAGTTGGGTGGGGAGGACTGAACACAGAAGTGCTTTACCACTGAGCCACACCCCTGGCCCTTTTTGTTTCTGCCAGGTCTAATTTGCTTAGGGCCTCCTTAAGTTGCTGAGGTTGGTCTTGAACCTGTGATCCTCCTGCCTCAACCTCCTAAGTGGCTGGGATTACAGGCCTGCTGAGCGTGGCTCCAAAAGTGGTCTTTTTCATCGAGTCCATAAAAATTAGCCCCTGAAACCAATTCAGCAATCAGTGAACGGGGACGCCCGCAGGGAGGCAGAGGACTGCTGAGACTTGCCATGAATCCCGAGAGGGGCACACCAGGTCCTTGGCCCCAGCTGGACAGATCCCTGGGCCCAGAGTCTCCATCATGCTGGGCTGCCTCGGAAGATGCACCTACAGCAGCTTCCGGCTGCCCACAGACCTCTGCCCCAGCTGCAACCGGATTCCAGATACGCAGCTCCGCCCCCGGGCGGGGCCCACCTCTGCCCTGCCATGGCCCCGCCCCCGACCCCGCCCCTGCCGCCGCGGGGCACCTCCGCCCGCCCCGGCCACTTCCGGACAGTCTAACCCCGCCCTTCCAGGAAGCCTGGAGCAGACTGGCCCCAGGCACTCAACACGTCCCGTCCCGCCCTACCCTCGTTTCCGCCCCGTGGACGGGAGAGGACCTGTCTAGCCCTGCCGTGGACACCGGCCGGCCTCCCCCACAGAAGGCGCGTCCCGCGTTTCCGCCCCACTGCTCTCCCCGCAAAGCCCCGCCCCGACGGGCCCCACGCACCCCGCACTTCCTGCCCTCAGTTGCCCTTTCCCCAACTTCCGACACGCCCACGCGTGGTCGCCCTCGTTGGGGCATGACTCTTGCGGCTCGGGTCGTCGCCCACGGAGACACGAGGGCTTGAGGCCTGTTACCCCGACTGGTTCTGTGGGCCGCCAAAGGCGGCCGACGAGAGCCCCCTTCCTACCTCTCCGGCTTCGCCCGCCGCCCGAACGGGCGGGTCAAGATGGCCGCGGTGAGGGCGCGGCCGCTTTAGGCGCGCCGCGGGGGCTTCTGGGAGTTGTAGTTCGGACTCCGGGCTGACGCACTTCGCCGCGGGCCGACGGGCGCCATTGTGCGGCGTGCACGGGATGAGTGTGGCGGGACGCTGCGCCCGTCGGAGCTGCACGTAGTAGCGCCGTGTCGTCCGCTCCCGGGCGGACTCGCGAGCTGCCAGCGGGCTCTGCTGGGGCCCCCGCTAGCAGCGCCCGTTCGCGGGCTCAGGGGCGGCCGGCGCGGCGCCGTCTCAGAGGCCCCGCCCGTGTGCCACCCGCGTCGGTTCGGGACCGCCCACTCCCGCCAGAGACCCAGGAGCGGCCATGGCCGCCCGGCTTTCGACGGCCTGGTGCAGTGTGAGTAGGCGCCGACTCCGCTGTTTCGTTTTGGTCGTTTTCTTCCGGTCCTGGGGACTGAGCCAGGACCTGGCTCCCTGTGAGCAGCGCCCCCAGCTCGTCTGCGAAGGGACCGCCCTACGTCCGAGGGCGCGGTCGCCACCCCGCGGTGCAGCGGGAGGGCCCCAGCGGGAAGGTGGCCTGGCCTGGCCCCGGGACTGACTGCCTGGGTCCCCGAGGGGAGGTGGGATGCGGGCTTCCGAGGCCGGCCTGAGGCCCCGAGGTGTCCCTTAACCTGGCAGCAAGCCCAGGTCGGGGTCGGCCTTGTGCTTAGATTTCAGCAGCCCTCTGGCGTCGGCCGAGCCGTCAGGTGAGTTGCTCCGGGGGGAGGAGGGCGAGCTGGCCTCCTGCGGTGGAGGCAGAGCAGCAGCAGGGGCCACGTGGGACTGTTGGGCCCAGGGAATTGCTCGGAGGCACACGTGCTGGTCTTCGACAGCTTCCCTGGTTAATAGAAATGGATACGTTTTCATAGATGTAGGGATTTCACTTGTTCTCCTGACTGTGACCTGGACAGGGCCACTTCGGATTTGCTCAGGTTTCAGACAGAGACAGTAACTCGAGACAGGCACAATGCTTTCCGGTCATCTTGGTCGGCCTTCCTCTCTGTCTGTCAACACGGAGGGGGATCTGCCTAGGCTGAACAGGAACCTCTGGGTTTTAGGAACCAGTGGCCTTTGAAGATTTAACACTGACTTTTACCCCGGAGGAGTGGGGACTGCTGGACCTCAGACAGAAGTCTCTGTACAGGGAAGTGATGCTGGAGAACTACAGGAACCTGGTCTCTGTGGGTAAGGCCGGCTTCCATGTCAGGAAAGATCTGTGCTTTGTGGTACCCCGTGTGATGCTTCAGAAGTGTGCCGGCTTGGATTCAGACTGCAGGGATCAGAGTAGCTTTGTTAAGGCCCTGAAGCCTCTGAGAGGGTCCTTTTTTTTTTTTTTTTGGTAGCCTTAGAAAAAAGGCGATTTCTCAGTCTGATTCCAAAGCTTCACACCATCCATACCTCAGCTCCCTGGATACCAGTCATGTTTTCAGCTGCAGTAGTGAATGCTGGTTGTTTTTGTGATCATTTAACAATGACATGTTAATATACAACAGCTCTGGAACGTGCGTCATTAAAGATCTTGATTCCTTCCATTTCTGTGGTTCTTTTAACTGTTTCCTCCTAGTCATCAGGTGACCATGGCCCCAGGGCTCGTGTCTGTGTTCAAGCTTTCCCTGAAGGTCCCCCAGCTCCCTTTGTCTTGCGGGCCAGCCTGCACCCTGACTCCTGCCACCCGCCACCTCTGTGGGCAAGGGAGTTCAGAAAAACTCTGACAAAAGGGAAGGATGTGGGTGTCATTGCCCTAAACCCAAAGTCATGTCATGTGTTAGAAGGGGAGGAGGCTGGGACAGTGTTTTCTCCCAAACCGACCCTGCCCCAAGCCTTCTCTTTTCCCTCGAGCAGAACATCAGCTTTCCAAGCCAGATGTGGTATCTCAGTTAGAAGTCGCAGAAGACTTCTGGCCAGAGGAAAGAGGAATTCTTCAAGACACCTTTCCAGGTGAGAACCAGGCACATGGGAGTTCTCACAAGGGATGCGTCCACTGGTTAGTTAGAGACTGGTGTTTTAGAAAAGAGTAGAGACTGTGAGACCCCAGGGGGAGGTGTGATTGGAGAATCAAGCTCCACATTTCCTCTGTCCCCAGTCAACAGTGTCCTGATGGTTAAAGGTGAACCTGTTGCCAATGGGTGGTACATAGGTACAGGTTTGCCTTTTGAATGGATAAGGTCTCCCATCTATTCCACTCGCTGTCAGCTGTCTCCTAAAGCAGTCACTGGTGCTTCTGGTTTGTCCCCAGCCAGGAGTTTTTGTGTGTTTACATGTGTGTGCACAAACATATTCACATTTGGGGGATGTTATGCTCAACACAGATCCCACCATTCCTTTTAACAGGATCAATGTAGTCCGCGTTTCAGTTTTCCAGATGGATATTCAGGTTATTCCAAAAACCTTCATAGTATTCATTTGCTGCAGTCTGGCTGGGCACAAATAACGGAGCTGCCACGAGGCACTTGTAGGTTCAAACAGGAACTGTTTTATTGCCCGAACTCTCACCCGCACTCCACGCGCGCCCTTCCCGGCAACTCTCTCACCCTCCACTGGGCTCCGCGAGAACTCAATGGGAACTCCGTGAGAACTCAACCAAAACTCTGCGGGAGAACTCAAGGGGAACTAGCAGGCGCCCCAGGCAGCAGGGGCCGCTCTATTGCCGGACAGCAGGGGTCCATATAGGACTGAATACACGGCCTGTTTCAATCCAGCATCATCCAGTCACAGCAATTATACACTGCTTAATTATCATCATCTTAATGGCTCGCTGGAGTCACCTCTCAACCACTCCTTCTGGTAAAATGCCATGCGCCATCCCAACTCGGCCGTGGCTCTCAACATTCATTTTTAGCACATTTTGATTTTTCTTTAGGTTCAATGTCTAGAAACCATAGGATTAACCTATGAGTAAGCTAAAAATCTGGTAATAGCAGGTTGTTCTCTCAAATTCTTTTAACATGTGTAGCCACTCAAGTGCCAAGTTCTCCTTCCCCAGCAGTTTGTAATGGTCTCCTTAAGGTTTGTAAGTCCGATGGACAAAAAAATATGTTCACTGTAGTTCACATCTTATTTATGAATTCTATATTATTTAGTTGTTTTTAATTTGTATTTTGGGAATGCTATTCTGGATGTTAATGTTGAAATATCTATTTCAGTCCAACATTTATCTACTCTTTTTATGTAAGGTCTTTTTCCGGAAGCTATAGCTATATAGTTTAAAAACAAGTTTTATGTGTTCTTTTTTTTTTTTTTTTTGGTAGTGCTGTGGATTGAACCCAAGAACTCATGCATACCAAGCAGACGTGCTACCACTGAGCTGCACCCCAGCCTCTGTCTTTATTTTGGTTTTGGATTTTTTTCCATGTAAACTACTTTCATGTATTTGAATTTTTTTTCTCTTAATTTGGGAATTGAATTCAGGGGTACTTTATGACTGAGCTAAACCCCCAGAAACTTTTTTGATACAGGGTCTTGCTAAGTTGCCTAGGGTCCAAGTTGCTGAGCTTGGCCTTGAATTTGAGATCCTCCTGGCTCAGTGTCCCGGGTCCTGGGGATTACAGGCCTGTGCTACTACTGCACCTGACCCTATCTGAGATTTTTGTTTGTTTGTTTGTTTAAAGATTTTTAAAATTTTTTAGTTGTAGTTGGACAAATACCTTTATTTTATTTATTTTTATGTGGTGCTGAGGATTGAACCCAGGGCTTTGCACATGCTAAGTGAGCACTCTACCACTAAACTCTACCCCTGCCCTCTTTGAGCTTTTTTTTTTTTTTTTTTTTTTAGTTGGACACAACTTTATTTTTATGTGGTGCTGAGGATGGAACCCAGGGCCTTGCATATGCTAGCCAGTGCTCTACTGCTGAGCCACAACCCCAGCCCCCCCTGTTTGAGCTTTTTAAGTTTGCTTTTTTGTCCAATTTATTTGGAAGTTTCTCATGTGGTGTGGGGCACAAATTTTTGCAGCACCATTTGCTCCCTCCCCTCTGCTTATTGGAAACACCATCTTGATGGGAATCCAGTTTTTGTGATCATAGTGCACAGTCCTGACAGAGGTCTCTTGTGCTGCTTAGATCTTTGTGTGGAAACATGGTGTTGCTGTACCTTTCAATGTTCCCCTACCCTTAGCATGTAGTTCTCTTAATCGACACATAATATCAGTGCATCGGGGGAGGAGGAGATGCTATTAGAGTGTGTTGCCTTTGGGGGCTTGCATTGTTGCTGATCTGATTGATCTTCAGGCCTGTATCATTGTTCCAGGTGGACATGTCAGGCTCCCGAGTTCTTGGGTGATTTGTAACAGTTGTGCCAGATTCTTTAGATGCCCACATACATGGTAGTTTGACCAGCAGGTATAAAGTTGGAGGCCAGTTGTTAATTTCTTATTGCCTTGGATAGTCACATGATTGGGTTCATCATAAGTGGTTCTCCCACACATCACAATGCTGAGAGTGAAAAGTAGGTGCCCATCTGAGTTCTGGTGAGCACAGGGCTGGATTCTGCTTTGTTTTAAATCAGTTTTTATGTGGATGAATGGTCTTTTAGCCATTTCTAGTGAATGACCCTCAGGCATATCCCCAGTTTCCCTTCCAGAGCCTTCCAGGATGACACAGACATGCATGATGTGCCCACTTGTGTCGGTGTGTTGATGTGCTCAGGTTGGGTTGGGCGGTAGTTTTCTCTGCATGTTTGCTGCCACATCCCCTCTCCGATTGTGATGCCGGCTCTAGAGCACTCTGGGGGCTTCCCCTGTGTCTCCTCTCTGCTGTGGTGTAAGGGTGTTGGAACCCTCTGCTTGGGCCAGTGTTTGTGGGACCTCCAGCTGTTCCTCTCTGTATTGATGACCTATTTGCCCCAACAAGACGAAGCTGGCATCTGTGATGCCACTCTTTCTTTTTCTGAACCCAGTTCTGGTTTCTCCCTGTTAGAACTTATGGCTCAGTGGTTTTCTATTTTTCTTTCCTCCATTCAGTCCTTCCTTTCATTCCCTTCATTGCAAATATCCTTTCTATTAGCACTGGTCACCAAATCATACCTTACCTGCCCAAGACCCCCAGCAGTTCTGTACCTCCTGTGTTGGTGTCCAGCCTGTTAACATGTGTTCCTGTCTGTGTGGCTCTGGCTGGGACAGCTCATCTCTTTGGTCCTGCCTGGATAAACCTCCTGACTACTCTTCTGGATGGTCTAATAGCTCCAAGGCTGGCTGCCACAGAGACACTGTAGGCGTGTCTCCTGCACGTCTACGGAGAGCTGGCTCACAGGTGAGCAGAGTTTGAGTGGTGCTCCAGGGAAGGAGACCTGTGAGCCGCGGCTGGTCAGCTGGCTTTCACGTGGGCCTGAGATGAGAGTTGCCAAAGTGACCTTTGCTGTGTCACAGAGTTCTTTAGGAGATGCTTCCTTCCCTCCCCCTTCCTTACACTGAGGACCTGTTCTGTCACATATAGTATACCCAACAGGTGGGACGTAAACCCAACCTTGTTGCCATAGATTATGAAAAGACTGTGCGGATATGGTGCATTGTGGGAGGCACTGAGGAGGAACCATGAGGAACTGCTGTAGGGGAGCTAGTTGGTATACTGCAGGGGTGGAATTATTTGTTTTTTTTTTTTTTTTTTGGACTTCAGGATTGAAGTCAGGGGCACTTTAGGTATGTGCATGTGTATTATTATTGTTATTTTATTTAGTTGTCGATGGATCTTTATTTTATTTATATGTGTCTCTGAGAGCTGAACCCAGTGTCTTACACATGCCACGCAAGTGCTGTACCACTAAGTTACAACCCAGTCCCCCACCCTGAGTCTTTTTTATTTTGCTAAGTTATGAGGGTCTCTCTAAGATGTCTAGACTGACCTTGTACTTGTGACTGGAATTACAGGCATGGCCACTGCACTCAGCTTCACCTTTCCTGTCTACATTCTTTGCCTGAGGAAATCAGCTTGTTGAGAGCCACAGTTTAGTCAGGATGCCAGAGGGAATGGTTGAAAGGTGACCCTGCTCCGGGATTGGGATTAGGGCGGATCCTGCTGCCTGGGGCCCCGCTACTTTGGAGTTCCCTTGAGTTCTCGTGGGGTTCTGAGAGAATTGGCGCGAGTGGAGGCAGTGTGTTCCCGGGAAGGGTGTGTAGAGTGCCGGTGAGAGTTCGGGAATAAAGGTTGCTGTTTGAACCTACAAGGCTGTGTGGCGGCTGGGTCATTTTGTGCCCAGCCAGACTGCGGCATCAGCTCAGCTGGATGTGGTGACTTGCAAGGCAGGAGGATCACAAGTTCAAGGCCAGCCTGGGCAGTTTAGGGAAACCCAGTTTCAAGTTAAGTTTTCTTAAAAAGGATTGGAGATGTAGGTCAGTGGTAAAGTACCCCTGTATCACTTTTTGGAAAAAAAAAAAAAAAAAAAAAAAAAGGTGGTGAAAAGAACTTTCAGGCAGGCAGAGGGATGCCATTTGAGATGACCATGAGATGGAACAGGCTGGACATAGTCAGGGAACACAAAGCTGCCCAGTGTGCCAGCGATGGTGACTGGGACATAAAGACATGCACGCTAAACTTGGCAGAGTCCACAGGCCTCGTTAGCTGTGCATGGGGATTGACTTTCATCCTTGAGCAAGGGAGTGTCGACTTTTCACAGCTTTCTCCGGGTAGTTGGAGAAAAAGGCGGGAGGCGGCCACAGCAGAATCCGGGGAGAGGCGAGAATGCTGGCCTGTGGTGGATGGGTAGGTGCATAGGGCTAGCTAGCGGCTGTGGGAGACAAAGGAAGGCTGCTGAGGCTTTCAGAGCCGAGGGACTTGCAGAGGCCTGTGTATACTGCAGGCATTCTCTTTATATGTGTCACTATCTTGTTTATAAAATATGATCAAGGAGAAAAGTTACTCAAATTTTTGGCATTAGCCGTTTACATGGGAAAGTCTGAAGATACAGATTTTGCGGAGTTGCAATACAGGCTTTTTTTCTTTTCATGTTGAAATAATTTTAAGCAAATTATACAGAGAATTAATAGTAGTTTCCACCTTGATTCAAGTCTGAACTTTCTCACATCTTTCCTGGTTCTATAAATGGAAGATTAACGGGAAGGGACCATAGAGACAGCCAGAGAGGTTTGCAAAACCAGTTGGATGCACCTGTTGGAACCTCAGAAGTGGGTCGAGGCAGCTCATGAACATGTGGGAGTTTAGAATGGCATCCCCTGCAGTAGCTTTCTCCCAGCAGTGACATGGCCATAAGCTCTTGTTAATGCACAGAACTGGGATTGAACACAAAACTGGCCCATTTTGGCAATTCATCCTGCATGCCTCTCAGCTTTCAATCATAGCCCAGTGGCAGCATGGGTTCTGGTGGTTGAAGTAGAAGAGAAATGGGATAAATGCTAAAACATGGCATTCCCCCTCAGGAAAGCCTTGAATTGGACAATATGCTATGAAGGTCAGGCGTTTGGGGGAATCAGCTCTCACTGAGCACCCCATCAGGAGAGGATTACCATACATACAGTTCTCAGTGGAACATGGGAGAGATAAACTAGACCTAATCATTAGGAAACTAGTGCAGAGAAGAGACTATCATAGAAAAGCCTGCAGAACACACATTTTCAACTTTAGCAGGAAATAGACCCTACAAATGTGAAAGTATCAGCTCTTGCAAACATACAACAAACATCAGCTTAAAAACAGTAATAATTTATATGAGATCTTGTGGAGCAGTAAGAAAGGTAAATTTGGGGGGGATTCATCCTTTGTGTAGCCTAAGGGGATCCCACAGGCTATAGAGTGAATACAGGAGAATTGGGATGTGGAAGTTTAGAATGGCATGGCCATATCACTTCTGGGAGAGAACTACTGCAGGGGATGCCATTCTGTTCTCCCACATTTTCATTCTCCTACACATGGAGAATGTAGAAAATTAGTAGAATATAGTAGTTTTGTATTAAAAAAAAAAGGTTTAAACCAAGATGGAATAAATGCATTGAGTGTGAGAAAGCCCAATTTCAGCTCAGATTGGCATCCTTAACAGAGAAGACTAAAAAGGATGCTTATAACAACCCTGGATGGTAGAAGTCTTCCAAAGAGTGTCTCTGAGAACACACAGGGAAGAAACGGCATTCCCAGGAGTGCAGTGGCAGCAGGAAAGGCTTATTGCCTAATGTCTTGTGTTGAGAGAATTCATACTGGGCAAAAACTACAGTTTCATTGAGTTTGAAAAAGTTCTTAACACCAACTAGTTACACCTGAGAGCTCTGACACCATGAGGACCTGATTGCTGAGGACGATCCCCGAAGCATCACAAGTCCTACTGGACACGGAAGCATGTAAGGAAGGCTTCAGGTGTAGCAAGGTGTGCTGATGAGGATTGTCACGTGAACACAGACAGGGGGGCCTCTTCAGTAGGAGTTCTCGTGTTCACATCAGAGGACTCATATGGGAGAGGACCCTTTGAATGTGATCTGTGCAGGCAAATTATCAGCCTTTACCTCTCAGTTACTTGACAGAAAGGAGGAAACTTAACTTGACAGGATCCCACTGAGTAAGGAACATAAAGTGTCTCTTCCTGTTTGTGTACCACATGCCATACTGAGGCTGAGCCCTACATGAAACTGATAACCTGGGTATTTGCAGTGAAACCACTGTTGTCTTTTCCAGTTTGTTCGGTTGGGTGAGGTGAATATCCAGGACACATGTTAAGTGGTACAGCTGAGAGCAGGCACGTCTGTTGTGCATTTCATACAGCTGGTTCACCAGCACATGGTGTTGCATCTGCTTCCTTCTCAGTCCAGCCTTGTCAAGGTTGGTGAGTGTCACCTCACATACAGTCCTCTAGCCCTTTGTGTTGCCAGACCTCCCGCTGTGTGGATCACAGTCTGTGCATGTGGTCCTGGGTGTGATGGTCATTTAGCCTGGCGATTTTTTTATTTCCAGCTTGTTGGAAACTGTGAGATGACATTTTTATAGGCTAGTTGTACTGTATTCATTTTTACTTGGATGCTTCTTATGCACATGGGTTTATCAGGACGTGATCCTGTCAGCAGGCAGGGAGCCTCTGTACTTCTGCCACCTGGTGGACAGGAGTGATTTCTACGTTTCAGCTGTTACGAGCAGTACTGCTCATGTAAGTTTTTGCAAACACAGGTTTTCAAGTTTCTTATGCTTAGATGTAAGTTGAAGGGTAGTTTTTGAGTTAAATGATGATTATATATTTAGCTTTTTGAGGAGCTAATAGATTGCTATGGAAAGTGGTGCGGCATTGTGTATCCTCACTGGTATTTGGAGGAGTTCCCCAGTCTTAGGATCAAACCAAGGGCTGTGCGCATGCTTGGCAGGTGCTCTGTCACTGAACTAGGTCTTGTGGTCCATCTCTTGGCAGTAGCCATTCTAGTGGGTGTGGAGTCATATCTCACTGTGATTTTCATTTGCTTTTTCAAGTTCTTGTTAGCCATCTGTCTTGTGCTTTTGGCTTACAGAATGTCCTAAAGTTCCACTGGGCCCTCAGATGAAGTCTCTTCCTGCTGAAAATCCCCTCATGAAGATCAGGGTTGTTGAGGTCCTCACACTGAACCAGGAGATGGCTGGTCCCCGAAATGCCCAGATCCAGGCCCTCTATGCTGAGAAGGGGGAACTCAGCCCAGGCATCCTCGGGGAGCCAGCCCAACAGACAGGTGGGCATCCAGCTGACCCTGAAGCTGCTCGCCAGAGGTTTCGGCAGTTCCAGTATGAGGAGTCAGCTGACCCTCAGAAGGCTCTGGCCCGACTTCGTGAGCTCTGTCGCGAGTGGCTACGGCCTGAGGCACGCTCCAAGGAGCAGATCCTGGAATTGCTGGTGCTGGAGCAGTTTCTGGGTGCTCTGCCTGAGAAGTTCCGGACATGGGTGGAGTCACAGCATCCTGAGAACTGCCAGGCTGCCGTAGCCCTGGTGGAGGACGTGACCTTGCTGTCGGTAGAGGAAGGTGAGTGTATGGATGGCTAAGGTGAGGGACACCTCTGCAAGGGTTTCTTGGAGGGACAGGAGGAAGAGCTCCGGCCCTCTTGGGAAGGATGGGGAGAGGGTTGTTCCTAGGCCATCCACCAAGGTGTCTGAGTCCCCCAAGTTACCAGTCAAAGCTGTTGGGACCCCATTGTGGGGCTTGGCACGGCCTTTTAGCAGTCTTTCCACAAGCTGCTTGCAGAAGTTCACAGACACAGTGCTTTCTGTTCATCCTCCTGGGATCCCTGCCACGGGAGCTCTCGGCTGTCCAGGAGCGGTGGATAAAGGGGTCACTGAGGCGGGCAGGATCGAGCCAGTGGTCCAGCAGGAGAGGTAGGGGAAGTAACAGGTGAAGATGGTGGGAGACAGTGCAGGGTGGAGAATGGTCAGGGTGCTGATGGGAATCACAGAGGTGGCACACCCTGGGACCTGAGCAGGTGGAGAAATGGGACAGGATGGATGTGACCACGGTGTGGCATGCAGACATCAGGGAGAGATTCGGAAGGTTCGTGGTGGATCGGAAGAGAGGGCCAAGTTGGCCTGCGGCTTAGGGCCCTGTCGGGATTTTTTCTATTTTAATTAATGTTTCTGCTGTAGGGGTTGAACCCAGGTGACTCTGCCTCCGAGCTGTCTCTTTTTTCTTCATTTTGAGTCAGTGTGTCACTAAGTCGCCAAGACTGACCTTAGAATTATGAGTCAGGAGGACCTGTTGTGACACTGCCAGGGTGACACAGGGAAGGGCCAAGAGCTCCAGTAGATCCTCTAGACCCATCCTCTCTTCCATGTCCCTTGTCACCTGCACTCCATTGGTTCTGATTGGCTGGCTGTGGGCTCCATGTTCATCCCAGATTATTCTCTGTGGGAGGCAGCCTGGGTCACATTGTGTACCCTCCTTGGTGGCAGGGTAGCCCAGAACCACGTGGGACACATGAGGAAGGCAGGCATGAAAGAGCTGTGGTTGGGAGGGCTGTGGGCACAGCCTGTGGCTGGGGCAGATCTGCCTTTCAAGGCAACCAGAGAAGAAAAGGGGACGGGGGTCCACATAAGCTGGGCAGAAGCTGACTATCTCCAGACAAGCTAGGTCCCCAAACAGTCCTTGGAGATGGGGACTGAGACCGTGTCTCAGTGGGGACACTGGTTCCCGTGGTCATGCAGAATGACACATCTGGACCTATCCAGGTAGGGGGTTTTGGTCACAAGCTGTGAGGAGTTGCTGACTGAGAGGAGAGGCGGGAGGAGACCCACTGGACTGTAGTGGTATGTGAGCAGGCAGCAGCCTGTGGACTGCAGGGAGCTGTCCCTGGGAGAGGATCCACACTCATCCCCAGCCCCCTCATGCTCTGTCTCCCCCAGGACTCCCTGTCCAGGGGCCTGCCTGCTGTCCAGAGGTCACTGCTCAGCAAGAGAAGGAACAGGAGGATGTGGCCATCTGTCCAGAGGCGGTGCCGAATGAGGTGAGTGGGGACCTCACCCGTTTCTCGCATCTCAGCATCTCTGTGAGGTGGTCCCATTGGTTGGGAGTCTCTGCGCCCCAGGGCTGGGGACCATCCTGCTCCTGAGCCTGTGGGAGTGTGCTGGCCTCTGAAACGACCCGCAGTCTGGGTGTGGAGGAAGGCAGAGGGAGGTCAGTCCTGTTCGCACTGTGAGTTGCTTTCTCGAGCATGTGAATAAATTTATTGGCTCTCATGTAACACGTCATCTCGTGAGACGAGCCATGGGGGTAGGCTTCAGGCAAGGCTGTGCAGGTGGTGGGAAGGATCTGGACCAGCCCATCTCAAGGCTCTGCTTTTTCCCATTCTTTCTCAAGATAGGCTCTGCTCCATCTGGGCAGAATGCCTGTCAGATCCAGGCAAAGGGAGGACAGGGAAGCTTCTTACCCTGGAGTCCTGGTCAGCTCCCCAGAAGGCACTGACGTGGCAGGCTGGGTGGATGCTGCACCCAGATGAGACTGTCCACAGAGGCAGTTGCCAGTCCCCCCCATGGGGAAGGCCTGTGGCACAGTGAGCCTGGTTTGCTTATTGCTCTGCCTTGCAGCTGGGGCTCTGAGCTAATCTGTGAGGAGGTCCCTGTGGACCTCTTGTGGGCCTGGAGTTGTTGTCTCTGAGCCAACCACCAAAGCAGAGGAATCCCGAGTGCCATAAGCTCTTCTGCTGTCCTGCTGACAGACCCCAGTCCTCCTAAGCAGACACATGCATGGTATTACAGGAGCCTGTGACCTTCCAGGATGTGGCTGTGGGCTTCAGCCGGGAGGAATGGGGGCTGCTGGGCCCGACACAGAGGACTGAGTACCATGATGTGATGCTGGAGACCTTTGGGAACCTGGTCTCAGTAGGTGAGCGGAACCTACCTTCACAATACCACAGGGGCCCCAGGGCAGGACCCTTGCCTTCTCTCAGCCCTGCGTGAACAGGGGACATGCCGAGGAGGCTCACTTGCCTGGTCCAGTACCTTTCGCTGGAGCTGTGGGCCTGAAGGGGTGGAAACTGGATGGAGAGCCGCAGAGCAGGCTCTTCTGATTTGCCACCTGCCCCAAGGCAGCCAGAGAGCGGGTGCTTGTTCGCCTCTGGTCTTGCGCAGCTTCTCAGAGGCCTTCCCAGGGTCGATGGCTGCGCTGGGGGAGATGTCCCCTGACGTTAGAAAACTTGAGTTATATTGTGGATCCCATCCTGGCGCTTTCCCTCTACAGCATCCACAATCTGTGTTTTGTTTTTTTTTCAGGGTGGGAGAGTACACCGGAAGGCAAAGAGTTAACTCCAGATTCTGATGTTCCTGCAGAGAAACCACTTCATGACCCCAAAATGAAACAATCCTCAGGAGAAGGTCGCCAGTCCTCCCCTTCAACTGCTGTTTCACAGGGTGGGGTCCCCAAAGCCCTGGCCACCGTGAACCGGGCGGAGCCTGCCCAGGAGCAAGGCCCCTCTGGGCACCAGCTCCCGGAAGGCCCCGGAGCTCCGGGAGCGCAGGCCGGACCTGACCCGAGCCACGGCTCGCCCCCGAAAGGCCCGAAAGGCCCTCCCGGAAGGCGCTCGCGCCCACAGGGCCCTCGGGTGACAAGTGCGGCGCCCGCGGCCTCCCCGGGGAGGGCGCACCCGAGGGGCTGTGGGAGGGGGGGAGCCGGAGCGGGCTGGATGGCCGGGGGCCGGGCGGGGGCCAGGGCGGGGGCCCGGCGAGCCGTGCAGATCACCTTCATCCGGATCCACAAGGGCAGCCAGGTGTGCCGCTGCAGCGAGTGCGGGAAGGTGTTCCGGAACCCCAGGTACTTCTCGGTGCACAAGAAGATCCACACCGGGGAGCGGCCCTACGTGTGCCGGGACTGCGGCAAGGGCTTCGTGCAGAGCTCGTCGCTCACGCAGCACCGCAGGGTGCACAGCGGCGAGCGGCCCTTTGAGTGCCGCGAGTGCGGCCGGACCTTCAACGACCGCTCGGCCATCTCGCAGCACCTGCGCACGCACACGGGCGCCAAGCCCTACCCCTGCCCGCACTGCGGCAAGGCCTTCCGCCAGAGCTCGCACCTCATCAGGCACCAGAGGACGCACACCGGGGAGCGCCCCTACGTGTGCAGGAAGTGCGGCAAGGCCTTCACCCAGAGCTCGCACCTCATCGGGCACCAGAAAACGCACGGCGGGAGGAAGTGCAGGAGGAGTCAGCCGGCCTCCTAGCCTCCTAGCCTCCCCGCGCCCTGTGCGCAGCCTGCGCCGGTCGGTGTGCAGACGCGGAGACAAGGGTTGGACGTGTTACTTATTCTTATCTGGTCATTGAAAAGAATGCTGGCTTGTGCTGTGCTACACCTGCAGTCCCAGTGACTGCGGAGGCTGAGGCAGGAAGGCGGCAAGTTCAAGGCTGCCCTGAGCGACTTAGCAGTGTCCTGTCTAAAAAGTTTTAAATGTGAAAAGAGGCTGAGATGTAGCCTAGCAGTAGTGACCCTGATTTCAATCCCTACTACACCCCGCCCCCAAAAAAGAAATAATGAAATCTAAAATACTTAGAAATTTAAAAAGCCATAATCTATGCACTGATATATCTGTAGTAAAGTATGTGTGGACAGGAACTAACAGAGAATGTGGATAAATAAACTCTATTTCTTGTAGATTTTGTTTCCTTTGTATTTAATTATGATTATTTTTTTTTTTACTTCATTTTTTATCTGTTCTACATTGTTATACATGACAGCACAATGCATTTTGATTCATTGTACACAAATGGAACACACTTTCATTTTTCTGGTTGTACACAGTGTAGAGTCACACCATATGTGCAGTCATACGTGTACCTAAGGTAATGATGTCCATCTCATTCCACCATCTTTCCTGCCCCCATTCCTTTTGCACAGAGTTTCTCCATTCTTCCCACCCCATTCCCTGCACCCCTGTTATGGATCTGCATCCATTTACCAGAGGGAACGCTCTGACTTTAATTTTGGGGATTGGCTTACTTTGCTTAATTTGATGTTCTCAAAACTCCATCTATTTACCTGCAAATTCCAAAAAGTTTTATTCTCTTTTTATTGCTGAATAATATTCCATTGTGTATATATATCACCGTTTCTTTATCCATTTATTGAAGGGCATCTCTGATGGTTCCACAGTTTAGCAGTTGTGAATTGTGCTGCTGTCAACATTGAAGTGGCTGCATCACTGTAGTATGCTGATTTTAAGTCCTTTGGGTCTGGACTGAGTGGGATAGCTGGGTCAAAGATGGTTCCATTCCAGCTTTTTCTAGGAGTCTCCATACTGCTTTCCATGGTGGTTGCACCAGTTGCAAGTGTAGAAGTTAAGGTCAGCCAAGAGCATTGGACCCATGAGCTGATCCAGGGATCTAGCTTTCTCCCATCCCATCCTCGCTTAAGTTGGGTTGTTGGTTCATCTACTTTCTTGCTCATGGGGAGAAGAGAAACATAGACGAAGAGATTTTCTTTTTTTAAGAAAAGGACTAATTTTCATACATCACTTCTATTGATTTTCTATTGGTAAGAATTTATGTGGTCCTGCTCTGTAAGGAATGTTAGGAAATACAGAAAAGAGGAATTGGTGTGAGACATCTGAAACCTTACTGGTTATTAAGGACAAGCCTGGGCATGGTAGTGCACCCTTGTAATCCCAGCGGCTCAGGAAGCTGAGGCAGGAGGATGGCAAGTTTGAGGCCAGCCTCAGCAACATAGACCCTGTCTCAAATGAAACTCAAAAGGCTGGGAATAGAATTCAGTGGTAAAGTGCCATTGGGTTAAATCCCCAGTGCCAAAAGAAGACAAGGAAGCTAAATGGTGGGAGACTGCAATAGTTACTCTTATGTGCCAACTTTACTGGGCTGAGGAATCCCAGATTGCCAATAAGACATTATTTCTGGGTGTGTCAGGGTGTTTCCAAATGAGATTTAGTAGATGACTGCGTTGACAGTAAATAGATGTGTCCAAAACATGAAAACAGAAGACCAGTGGAATGGAAGACACACAAATCCTCATAGATATGACCATCTAATCTTTGACTAAGGTACCAAAAACAAAAGGTGGGAAAAAGACACTTCCTTTAACAAGTGTTTCTGGGAAAACTGGATAGCCGTTTGTGGAAGAATCAGATTGAAGCAGGAGGATCGAAATTTCAAACTCAACCTCAGCAACTTAGTGAGATCCTGTTTCAAAATGAAACAGAAAGGGCTGGGGATGTGCCTCAGAACGGGTTCAATCCATGTTACCAAAAACAAAGACAAACAAAAATGGATCAAAGCCCTCAGAAGTAGACCAGAAACTGTACAACTGATAGAAGGAAATAGAGTCAACATGCCAACATAGGTGCAAGCATCAATTTCCTTAGTAAGACCCAAAAGCACAAGAAGTAAAACAAAGAATATGTGGAATGGCCTCAAGTTAAAAAGCTTCTGCATAGCAAAGGAAACAAGCATGAAAAGAGAGCCTACAGAATGGGAGGAAGTCCCTACAAGTTACTTTTCTGATAGAGGATTAATACCCAGAATGCATAAAGAACTCAAAAACAACCCAACTGATAAAAGAGCAAATGAACTAAAATGAATTTCTCAAAAGAAGAAATGCAAATGAAAAAAAAAATGTTCAATATTAGCATTCTGGAAAATGCAAATCAGAACTACACTGAGATTCCACCTCAGTCAGAATGGCAGCCAGGAATACATGATAGGAAATGCATGTGGAGAGCGCAGGGAGGAAGCCCTCCTACGCCGTTGGTCGCGCTGCAAAGACTTGGACTAGAACTGCCAGATGACCCCGCTCTTCCAAAAGAGCAAAATGAGCGTACTGCAGCAATACCTGCCTTCCAATGATGACAGCCACACATTTCACAACACCAAGTCGTGGAACCAGCCTGAGTAGGTGCCTGTCAACGGATGAATAGCAAAGAAAATGTGTATGTAACGAGTATCACTCTGAAAAACTGAGATCATGTCATTTGCTAGTGAATGTGTAGAACAACATGGCAGATGATGTAAAGTCAGAGGCAGAATGTGTCTCATGCAGAAGCCACAAAGAAACAAGAAAGGGGGAGTCTCACAAAAAGAAGGAGGTAGATGTCCAGGGGGAAGAAGGAAGCCAAGGGAAGGGCGTGGGGAGCCGCTGTGAGTGAATGCCTCCAGTCCTGACGCCCGCGAGCGCCACCAGTGTGCATGCACAGAACGCATGTCCTGCGTGGGGATTCTCTGACCAGTCAGTACGTTTCCTAGCGACTTGAGTGTTGTCCCAGCTCGGACAGCAAGGCACAGCTTCACGTGTAGGCATACCCTCACCTGCTCTCGTGAAATCCTACCCCTTCTGCCCTTTTATGGATACAACTTTCTAAGAACAGTGTCCCCCCAAATAAAAGCTCACTTCCAAATATGCTTCCCTCTCTCGCCAGCATCTCATGACTTTCTCTTGCTCTCCCTTTTGAGGAGCCTGAGGCTGAGAGCCGAGGAATGCTTTCCTGAAGCTTGGGTAAAGGTAATTCGTGTCTGTGTTTTATTTTGTGTCACCCCAAATTCACACAAGTGACCTTAGTTGAGTCCCCTGTGCTGGACAGGGACAGCAAAAGGGAAAAGCAGGAATAAAATAAAATTCTGCTATATGTGTATGTAAAGAGCTGTCACAATGAGTCCCACTGTATGTAAAGTGATGACACACCAGTGTACAGAGACCAGAGAGGGGAGGAGGGGGCAGAGCACGGAGAAGAGGGGCGGGAAGCCCTGGGACGTGTGGGAGCAAACTGTGTGCATGTGGGTATGGCAGAAGGAGTCTCACTGTGTGATTACAAGGCACTGATAAAAACTTTAAAAAAACTTTAAAAGGAGGTCATCAGTCCCAGCAGACTGTAAGTCCACAGCATCTAGTACCCAAGATAGCATAATTTTGTGTAAATTTTCCTAATTTCCAATTTTCCCCACACAGATAATTCACATTTTAGAACATTTCATAAACCTGACTCAAAACGTTAGGAAAATAACTCCATTTTCAATAAACACTAGAGAAATTATGCAAGTGAAAAAATATGCAAAGTGTACACAAAGTTGCATAGCTTTGACCTTCATCCGCTGAGGAAGAAGATAACCTCTGGAAATGAACACGGAGTTCTCCTGCACTGATCATCCCTGAATAATGAGAAGAAGAAAATTCAACCAGGCGGGAAATGTGACTGTGATACACATGGAAGTCTTTGAATATCATCTATCCCTAAGTGAATGCCAGGTGAGCCCTACTGGAAAGATCCTATGATTGTAGCAAAACTCAGAGAAACTTCTGCCATGCTTGCCTTGTGGAGACAGCTGTGGGGCGGCCGTCCTTCACTGGAGCTCCTGCCTGCGCCTGATTGCACCCCACAGACTCACAGGCTGGTGACGGAGAGGCCCATTAGAGGACATGAAGGAGCTCCGTGCAGAGGGAGCCTGAGTGTGTGAAGGTGGAAGAGTCCTCAGCAGCTGGGTTTTGACAATTAGGCTCCTGTAAACACTGGAGAAAGACCTCGTTGTGACGTGAGAAGTCTTTTAGTCACATCGTTGACTTTAATGTGCATCAAAGAGCGTAACTGAAGGGAGGCTTATGTTGCCACTGGAATAGAAATGTTCCAAAGCTGTGGACTTATTTCACAAGAAAGAAATGCTGGAGTTCTCACTTTGCTGCTCATCAGAGAATTCATACTGCAGAGAAACAATGCAGATCCGGGTGGGAATTCTAGGGAGCACTCCTGTATTTGGCTTCACAATTCACAGAGAAACGTCATTTATGTGGCCATGGTAGAAAGCCCTTCAGCAGGATTCTCCGTTTACTGAACGTCAGAGAGGTCATACTCTACGTTAACCTTATTACCTGACAGGGAAAACTCAGAGGGGTGACATTTATTTGGGGCTCATGGTTTCAGAGGTTAGAGTCCATAGGTCGACTCCATTTCTCTGGCCCAAGGTGAGGCGAAACACTGGGAGAAAGGCCAGTGAAGGATAGCTGCTCAGCTCATGGCACCGGAGGCAGAGAGAGGGGGGAAGGGGCCACAGGGAAGATGAACCCTTGAAGGGCACAGTGCCCCCTGACCCACCACCAGCCACACCCCACCTGTGGAACACCCACTTGGTCCATTCAAACTGGGCTGGTCTGGTTAGGTTGCAGCTCTTATAATCTAATCCTTTCTCCTCCGATCATCCCTGCATTACACAGGAGCTTTGGGGGAACGCAAAACGTAATGTCCTGCCCTCAACCCCAAAACCTCATGTCCACCTCTCCCGCCCACATCCTGCGTGGGCAGTTGAGGTGAGTTCCTCTGCATGGAGTGCACTGGCTGCGAAATAAGGCTAAGAAAAAGAAGGCAACAAAAAGACTACACACCATGGAAATAATTTTGAAAAGCAGGGGCAAGACAGCTTCCACACTGGGAAGAGAGAGGGTGAGAGCCCAGGTTTGCTTTATTATATAAGGGGAAACCCCAAAGGTTTTCCATATAATGTGCTGCCAAATAAAGTAGGAGGTGCACGGTCCAGGCCCAATGCGTCACGCCCAATTCCGGAGCTACTAGGGCTGTCCCACTGATAGAGCAAGGACAGAGATCTCATGCCTTAGGCAGTTTCCACACAGGAATCATTCTCAAAGGGAGACTAAGTCCTCCA